CCCCCTTTACAAAACTTGTTTGTTTTCTCCTCCTCCTCCCCCCCCACAAAAAAATAATAATTATCCTGAAGTCTGGTTTCGCAGCCCGAGATCTTATGTACGACTTGCAGTGCAGCTCCGTGGCTGCTTCTGTAAGAAAAGTTTAATATATTAGTAGGGGCTTTACTGAGCTTGTATGTGGGCATGAGGGAGAGGGTCTGTGTCCATAGCTCGTAAAATATCCCGGTGGTTGGATCTAGGGCTTGGGTTTGTGTGAAGTCTGGTTCAGCAAAAGCGATGGTTTTGCCTCGCTGCCCTCTCGTAGTGAAACAGGTAAAAAAATGCCTCAGTGGATCATGAGAAAGGTGTTACCCAAGAGAAGGTGTGAAGGCATTTGTTAAAGGTTTCTATAGGCGGCTCATAGCAGGGGGAACCACTAGAAAGCAGAGAGATGCAGCGTGTGACAGCGCCTTGATTTCTTGGAAATAAGAGAATAACTGGGAATTCCTAGATTAGTGAAAGTCCCAGGCAACCTGGGAAGACCCCATTTTTCACTTTTCCGACACTTGGTGCTGAAACTCTGTAACACCCCGTTGTAAGTGTCACTCCTTGTGATTCACCTAAAGGACAGCATATTTCCTTTTTGGGGAAAAACAGAAGGCAGCACTGTCACACTTCTTCCCTGGCTTGCTGCCGAAGAGCATTGCATCAATAACATGCAGCAGATTACATCATCTGCTTCCGCTGGTGGCTCCATCGGTGCACGTATACTGCCCTGGCTGGAAGAACTATATACATTGCGGCGGCTGCTGACCTTAGAGAAGTTGCTAAAGCCACAAGAAATTGTTGGGATTTACCACTTCTGATTTCGCAGGGCAGATGATGGCGTCTGGGCAGATTTCTCATCTGATCCTTGTGGCTGAGATAATGGGAATTGCTCTGCCAGGGCAGTGTATAGAAATGACAGTACAGTGAGAGTTCATGCAATAGCAGCGCTTTTAAGGAGCTGTTGGCATATGTGGGTAGAGGTGAAGCTCAGGGGGAGCCTTTGCAACAGATGCTGTAGAGGAGGCTGCTGCCTGGTGGCTCCCCGGGCTGGATCTGCCGGAGGGGCACCCAGGGGTGTTGGTAAACCCCAACGAGGCGCAGCCCGAAGGGTGGGAGGCAGCCCCCAAAGCAAGCTGGAGCTGAAGGGGGCTTGTCCTCAAACATGGAGGGAAAAAGGGGGATTCTCTTACTCCCTGCCCCAGCACACGGAAAGGAGGGATGGTGGGACAAGGAATGGGGGTTGATGCCCCCAAGCTGGGTTTTATCTCGGCCCCACCTGGGAGAAACCTCTCTGTGACGTGAGTAACTTGTGATGGGAACAACTGGTGCCTTGTTTCCCCTTCCTGCACCTGCAGCAATGCTGGTGCCGCAGCCAACACATCTGTATGCATGTCCCAGCTGAGGCCAAGCACCAGTTTTGTCTCTGAGTGTGGGAAGGGGACAGAACAGAGTTCTGAGAAATGTGGGAACTGCTGGAGTATGTGTTAGTTACCTGGGTCCCGTTTTTCTTTTGTTGGAGGTTTTGAACACCTTCCTTTCTGAAAAACTGCCCTGCGAGGTGATGCTGCCCAAATTCTGCCCTAAAATCACTGAACTGGCTCATAAGGGTCGGACCAGATGATCTTTAAGGTCCCTTCCCACCCAAAGCCCCCTCTGATTCTATAATTAAGCCAGCCTTTGGGCTGGTTTTGTGTTGGGGTCGCAATTTCAAACGCTGGTTCGCAATCTTCCAGGCAAGGACCGTGCTGTCCTCTTCCCCTGCCTTCTTCTCCCACCCTGCTGGGGCTGCTGCCGGCGTTAGCGCCCCGCACACTGGGGGGCTCCCCAACTGCGGGAGCCTGGGCAGGGGCCAGCCTGCCTCAAAGCAATGCGGTGCTTGAATTTGTTGGGGTGGGTTTCGTTTTTTTTTCCCCCTTCCTTGCTGAGCTCTGCTGTGGGCATGTGTGGAGCAGTGAGTCACCCCTCACTCCTCACATCCCGCACGTCCCACACCGCAGCACCCGCGCTGGCAGGAGGGCGGTCACAGCAAGCACAGCGCTCCGATGAAACGCTGCCGGTGAAAACTTGGGTTTTTTTATGCAAGTTTTGAATGTGCTTAGGAAACTGTATTGCAAGACTGGCTGTAAAAGTTGCTAAAGACTTGTCTATCCCTCCTCAGTGTCTGGGGTTTTTTCTTTAAATAAAAGGTCCTTATCTTCTCTGCCAACTTGGCAGCAAAGGTTGCAGCTGATTCCTGCATTCGAGCTATGTTTTTCTCTTCTGCAATGCTTTGAAAAATGACCGTTGCAGAAAAGATAGCTGGAGGAGACAGCAATTAGACAGGGAAAGTTCAAGGTCACCGTACCTCCAGCCAGGGCTGGTGCGTGGCCGGGCTACCGGCTCCTGCCGGGGCGAGGTGTGCTCTCTCCTTCCAGCCCGGGAGCAGCGGGAGCTGCTCAGGCCCCGCACAAACATCACACCGCAGTGTGGCTGCGCAGTACTCAATCCCAGAAACAAAGGTCGGTGGGAAGTGTTGGAATCATGACATTTTGCCTAAAAAAAGTGGGTTTTTTGAGGCAAAATTTTCTTCTTTTCCTGAACCTTAGATTTTAAAGTCTCTTTTCGAACCGGAGGGGGAGGCAGGGTACTTTTCACTCATTATAGATGGAGATGTCTGTGCAATCCCAGAGTACGAAGAGCTGGAGCAGTAGGGAGAGCACAGAGCCCACGATAATTCTGAGGGTTAACCAAGCAGCTGATAATCATCTGTGGCAAACGCCTCTTATAGCAGCACTCAGATTGTGTTGATGTAATTAAATAATATTTAATTCAATTTTGTTTTAAATTTGAGTAACAAAGTCTGTGCAAGCTCGTTGTGTGGACATTTAAATTGGATTAAGAGTGGATAAAAGGATTAATGATTAACACTAAATTAGACTAATTTTAGCGGTTCCTAATCTTATTTAGGAGTCTGCACAAGAAGGTTGTCAGGTTTAATTGCAACTTTGATTAAACCAGGCTTTATAGCTGGGAAAACTGCATAAGTTTAACGTCATCTGGAAGAAGAGCTCTGCCTGAATTTGCAAAGCGGCGTAAGCACCTGAGGCTTAACCTAAATATTGCTGGCCGGGCAAAGGCTGCGGCGTGTGACCGCCCACAGCGGCTCAGGGAGATGATGCTCCGCAGCCCGGCTCCGCTCATCGGCTTTGCACGTGCCGAGCTCAGCCGGTGCCTGGTGCGCAGTGCTGGAGCCACCAGCTCGGGTAAAGCTGCTTTGAAATTGCTTTGGAGGATGGAGGAGAAGCTGCTGCTGCAGCCGCTGCTGCTGCGGGGCAGCTCTGCCCGCAGGAACCCAAATTTAGCTCCCCTGCTGGCAACGGCTCTTTTTGCACAGGGATAATTTGGTGATGCTCCCAGGAATGGGGGCACTGGGAACGGGAGCTCTGCCCATGCTGTGGGTGGACGTGCTCGAGGAGAGGAGCAGTGAGCATTTCCAGCTCTGCAGAAGCTCATCCCCGGGGGGGTGAGCCGCGGGGCCCACAGGTGGCCGCGCTCTGGTTTCGGCTGTGTCCCTTGGCCGGTGCGCAGCTCCGTGCTGGCAGTGGGGCAGGGGCAGCTGCTCGGCCGGGCAGGGGCATGG